TGTGTTTGATAATGGCCATACCAAGCTAAGGTTCTCATTAACTTAAAAGGAAACAAAACAAACAAAAAACCCAAAAGAGAGTTTGTCTCCAAGACTGTGCAAAACAAACAAACAAAAAAAAAACCAAAACCCCAACAGTTCTGCTCTTTTAAAATTTCCTCTGAAAGATGCAGGTAATTAGTACAGAGGGCTTTCTTTTTAATTATTAATAATCATCAGGTAAAGAGCCAAGGAAGATCAGACCTAAAGAAGGCATGCATCATGTTTTGCATTTATCTTTTTTAAATGGCATAATTGTAAGCTCCTGTTTGCTCTTTGTGGCTTTAAAAAAAAAAAATCTGGATAAAATATCAAGGCTTTGATATACCACTTTTCCACTTCATTCACTGGTTTTGTACTGTCTTAAAAACACTTCCAAATAATAAAATCTAGTGTTTGCCCTCCCACGGGTTCAATCCCCACACTCCTCCCTGGGGTGGTAGAGGGAGGAAGAAAAGGGTATTTGCTCAGACAAACCTGGGAAGCGTGGATGGTCTTCTCCTCCATCAGGGGCTAGCTGATCTCATCCCGGTGTGGGATAGCACCTCTCTAACAAAGGGGGCAGAGAGCTGCCTGTTGCAAAGCGACAGCTCCACTTTGCGCAACAGCTTTTATTTTCTGCAGTCTGTTAAATAAGGATTAACATTCCAAATTTGCTTAGTCGGTAAAAAGGTTGCCTCACACTCGGTATGCCGTCAATGCAATCACTTTAACTCCCTCAAAAGATGCGAAAAATGGTGAGGGGTAGGCAGAAACTCAGGTAAAAGTCCAACCCAACTTCTGCAAGCGACGCCTTCCCTTGGTCAAGGCAAATCCTGTCAGGCCTGCCAGAAAGGTCATTTTCTTCTTGGGGACAGGCTCCCTCCTTGGTAAGGTCAACATAACACTTCTACATTCCCCACCCGATGAATAAGGAAATGGACTCCTTTTGCAGCAAAGAAACCATGAATTGGCCCAAAGGACAAACATCAGATCACATGTGCTAATTCCCTTTCCCCTCTGCTTCATGAGGTATTCTCTTAACACCCAGAGGCAACACGGGGAGGTGGCCTGGAGTCCTTTGGCTACGGTTTTTGAGGTTCTGATCTGATAGTTTTCTGTGTTACAACATCACTGTAAAAAATAGAAAAATTACCCAAATAAACACTAGGAAACATGACACTTACAAACATCAGATGGTTTAGTGGTGGGGAGAAGCACCTGGCTGGGGCTGCTGGCTCCCACTGCTATGTTACTCGGAGACCAAACAAATCAAACGGGAGGCCAGGAACCCCTTTAATTCTATGGGTGCATATATTTCAGTATAAAAACACACGCTATTTATGCCTCATATAGGAGTGTATGTGCAAGTTTTCATGAAGAACATAACACTAGGTTTTTTTGTCTGCTTCCTAAGGAACACGTGTTCTGCAGCACTGTGGATCCCAACTATGCTACTAGAAAGGAAAAAAGAACCAATCCCATCATGTACCCTCTTCCTCTAAAATCTGCTCTTAATGCAATCTTTTTTTTGTCTTTTGTTAAATTAAATAAGCTGGCTTCAAACCTCCATGTTTAGCCAGGTAGTGGCTGTTTCTAAACCCAGTATCTCTGAAGAGCAAGCTTCTACTTAAGTTATATTCACTTGAATGCATTTGTTAATCCCTACTTCCACCTTTAGGTTTAAATCAACATCCCATTATGGATTTTTTTCTTCAAGAAAAAAAAAAAGTCTGTTTTGGGATCCAGCAGCTGAGCAACCAGCTTTCCATAGCGTTCTTGCTGTGCAGAAATCGAAGAAGAAACAGGCTGAAGTCAGTCTGCCAGGCAACAGGAAGAGAAACGCCTCCTCTCTTGGACACCCAGTCTTCACACTGGCTCCTCTGGGGTCTCCTCGCCACCTCTCATGGACCGAAGTCGCAGCACAGCCTGAATGTGATGTTAACTTCCACCATGGCTTTGCGGAGCACAGTTCAGCCACCCGCTGCTCAAGCCGCCTCCTTTTTTGCTCTCCCTCTCTCTTTCTCTCTCCTTCACTTTTGCTTTCCCCCTCACTTCATTTCTGAAAGATGTTCCAGCTGCTGCCATTTTCTTAGCCCTGGGGGAGGGGGCATGTTGGATAATCTGTCATTTATTTAGCATTATTCCTGGTTTTTATTATTTTATACAAACAATGTGTCTTTTTTTTTTTTTTAAGATTTAAAAACACCTTCGTACAGCAGAAACAGACACGATGGATCCATGGAAAACAACAGAAAGGCAGCGCCCGGAGCATCAGATGCATGCAGGGTTTCGTGCATTTGGCTGCTGCCTGTTTGCAATTTGTATTTATTTTTTTTAACGTCAAAACAGACATGACCGTTGCTGTCACTCAGGCACTCCACAGCTGCTTGCTAAGAAGATATTGCCCTCCAGCTGAGTATCTCCACAAGTTGCTGTAGTCAGGAAGAGGTAGTGTCCACCCAGAAAGGAGAGGGGAGAACAGGATGGAAGATGGAAGGAAATAAAGCCAAACGTTAGCTGTACACAAGTAATAAACCACATTTTCTACAGGCTAATTATTTGGTGCAGGCAGAAACCCTTCCTAACACAACACGGGCTGGGACTGGTGAGGAGAGCCCTGAAGGTAAGAGGCACACACCTTCCCTTCAGGTGGCTGAGCGTGCCAGCGAAAACCAACCACTTGCTTGATTGGAGCAGACCTGGGCCCACTGTCTGACAGTGACATCCCACAAGCTGAAGTTTCCCAAGGGGTGACCAAAGGCTCTGGTCCTAAGGAACGGTTTCTGCCTCACTTCCCATTCACTTTAGCCTTGAACTGAAAGATCCATTTTTTTTTTCACTCCCTCAGGAATTTTGTCTCTGAATGTTCTTAATATTTAAACAAGTGTACGAGCTTTTCTGCAGTTTTACAAAGTTGTAGCCCTAGTGACTGGTTTTAGCAAAGGCTCCTCCTGGCATCTTCTTGTGTCAAATCACTGGATTTATCTTGATCAGTTTTGAGTTTGGGTTTTTTCATGTTTGTTTAGCATTGTTCTGCCATAAAAGTGTAGCTGGAATTCTTCTTTCTACTACTTCTTAGTTTGCAAACCTTTGTCGCAAACTCTTTTATTAGTCTTCTCCCTTCTTGGTTCCTACTCTCGCCTTACACCAAAGTCCTCTGACGAACCTCTAACTTCCTTTATGGCTGCAGTTTCCTATTAAGATAACTTAACAAAAACTGAACTCTGCCTTCCAGGTGAGAGCAAACTACTGATTTCTATTTGAGAATTCTTATTCACCTCATTACTTCCTCCTTACCCTTCACTGCACACGGGCCAACGCTGCTCCAAAATGATTCAGTGTACAGAGGGGGGCTGCCCACACTGACTCCACTCGTAATTGCACATGGTTACACCTCCTTCAGAACCCAAAAACGTATGTAAATATTTCCAGTGTAGTTTGTAGGGTTTTTTAAAATACTGTTTTAACCAATATTTTGTGGTTTGGAAATGGCTTCTGCTCTGCAGTTTTCAGAAACCCTCCAGCACATACTTTTGGAGGAGGTGCAACATTTCAGCAGCCAAGTCAAGGAAATGTACCTCTTCTGTAGCAACTACGACTATCCACGCCTAAGCTTCCTCAGAACTCCGAGCATAGCGACTGAGCCATACTGATGTCTGACTTAACAATTACTTCTGCACCTTTTTTGGACTAAATCCAGGACAGAAGTCTCCCTCAGCATCTCTGAGATGAAAACTGATGCAAGTAAGTTAGTTTTTGTTTCCCTGCAAAGGCTTTATTCTTCTCACTGCCTTACTCCCTGGAAATTCAGCTGATTGTCCAGCTCTTTTGGAAGCATCCCTGCTTCTGGTGCCCCCAACTGGCTTTTGCTTTTCAAATTCCATCTGTGACCTCTGCAGTTTGATGTGATAGTTCACATTCCTTTCCACGGCCTTCACTAGGGTCGAACCCCTCATCACACACAAGAATAAGAACTGCTCTTGGCTTGGTCCCAAGTAGCACACAAGACTAGTACTCAAGTAGTAACTATACCTGAGTGGTTCATCCTCAAATGACCATATTAAAAAAACTTGTCTCCCAGGTGCAGATGTTTTTTGTTTGCTCTTAAACAGAAAAATCTGTAGTAAAAAGGTCCTAAGATTAAGAAACTTAGATCTTTTAAAATGAATCTGACATATACTTCAGCAAAGGAGGCAGAAAGACTCTGTACAACTAACTACAAGAAATCAGTAAGACAGTAAGCAAGAATGCCTAAATGCTGCAGAAGGAAGTGAATCTGCTGCCCTTGAGGAGCAAGCAACAATCGTTTCTTCATGTCAGATTTTATAATCCGTTTTCTCCAATGCTGAGCTGTGGCAAGCTAACTGGGGGATACTTTAAATCTTGTGATGTTATTTGTTTAGGTTTCTTTTCCCTATGAGTTTTCACTGTACACTAACAGCTTCTGCTAATCAGAAAATCGGTAGTAAAGTATGTATGAATAAATCTTTACCCTTATGGCATAGCAATTGTTTTGTATAGATTTTACAGTATCCTCTCTACAACATGACAAAAATCAGAAAAGTTATCCAAAATCACCCCCAGCATGTAAAGGTGGATCCCTGACAGGTGGGAAATAGCAAACCTGTGCACAGCATGAGATACTCTTCCTCTCTGCTCTACATGAGCACTCTGTCCGAGTACAGAGCTGAATGCCTGGGAGGAAAGACTGCTGCTACACCGGGAGCTATGCTCAGGAACACCTGCCTGGGACATGACTCCCGTTTGTCAGGAGTGGGAGATAATCCTACCGAGTCCAGAGGACGGGGCTTAGAGAAAGGAACACCAACTGATCAGCAGAAGTTTTTAGCCTACACTCATCCAAAAAGGTTCTCTCTCGGCCAGCTAAACAACCGTAAATACCGAATTCCCACACAAGCAGCCTTAGCTGTGTGTATGATCTACTCCAACCCTGACTGTCCATACCCGTAATTTGATCCTCACTGGAGAGGTGCTGCAGGAGCTCCAGAGCAGTGGTAGTGGACGTTCAGCCACTTGCCATCTCGGCGGTGCCAGACGCGGGTCTCTTCAGACTGCGTGGTGCGGGGCCGGCCTTGGCCATCGATGTACTGTGTCAGGCGGATGTACGCGATGCAGGCAGCATCTTCACCAATGACGTGGACGTGGGGGTTCAGGATGGTGGTGTGTATTGGCTTGCTGTTCTTCGACAGTACTGGCAGAACATGCAAAACCATCAGCTTCGTTTTACTGCTAAGAAGGACCAGCCCCCTGCCATCCTTCAACCTCTTTTGTGTTCTACTCACCTTCCACTGGATTCTGGGATACAAGAAAAATTGCTCCCACAATTTTCCAGGCAAAATCCAAGCCAATTCTTTCCCCTATCACCTGTTCTTCTCCTTAGGAATTGCACACTTACTATTGCCTAGAATCCCCTGGCCGCTTTGCTCCCACTTCTTCTGAAAAGCATAGTCACCACTTTTTCAATATCAGTGCTTCTGTTTCTTCAGTTACAGGAAAAGATCTTTTAATTACAGAATATTGTTGCAAAGGAGTCAATAATCAGGATATCTTTAAGCTAGACCTGCATTAAATATGAACAAGCCTCAGAGAAATGTAAAAATCACTCCAGAACAGGCTTTTAAGAGAGTGCGTACTTAGAGCAGTAGGAATTGCCTAAACTGAGGACCTTGGCCTAACCCCCAAACTGAAACAAGTTGAACAGCTCAGGATTTAAATTTCAATTATCTCATCCTGTGGAGACATCCAGGAAGGGAGGCAAATCCACCAGCATAAAGGATAGCATTTCTCCCAACTCTTTTTTTCCTGCCCAAGGCTGACAAGGTGACCCTTGTATCCACATAATGGGTTCATTAGGTGTTAGAGATATGAAACTGTCCAGTGAAAAACTCAAAGCCAAGGCGTGACTGATTTGTGCATGACTATCTTTATGTCTGACCATTCAGTACGTCTACCCCAAACGTACATGTTGTTTCCATCCCAATATGCTCATTTTTTCCATTTCCATATCAGTAGGAAGTCCGGTGCCTCAAACTTCTAAAGCTCCCACAGTCCACGCTTACAAAATATTTGCACCAGGCAAACTGCGTGCCTGTAGTGAAGGGATCTGGGGGTTGGAATTGAAACTGCTGCTGAAAAAGGCTTCTGAGAGAACGCATGCTGGCTCTTATAAATGCATCGTAACCCATGCACAGTCGAGTTCTTGCTGGTTCTGATAACCAGTAAAAACAAGGGCAATTTTCCCCCCCAAAATGTGGTATAAATGAAGATCAGAGAGAAAGCTGTTGGTGTTACCCAATCTACCCACTCACAGTTCTCAAAGTAAAACTTATGGAAATCCATTCCTTCAACCAGGTTCCCCAGTGCCTCAGGTTCAAATGAGGTCAAGCCAGGATCACAGATTTTTCTGCAAAGAAAAGCACCACAGGCTTACAGTCTGCATTCGAGCCCAAGGGCTGTTTACACAATGAAGCGCTGATACCGCATTGAACTCACACCTTGTGTCCGCCTAACTGTTTCCTTTCTCCAAGGAGTAAATTCCTGGAGGACTCAGCCCTACTGCAACAACAGGGTGTTGGTGCTAGTTGGCATTTCACACACAAGCTTCTGTTTTTCTGCCTTTTCTTTCTCTCTCTTCCCATCTCACTGCCCTCCTCCCTACTTTTCTGACAAAGCCAGGACATTGTCCTTTTGTTGCTCCTGTTGCTGTTTGATACCCAACAACTTCTACCTGATGTTCATTTAGAGAGCTCTACCATATCCCGACTCCTAATTGAGGGAGGCTAATCAGCATAAAACTTAATTGCACTGACAACTCCTCCTACCCAGGAGCCAAAACATCACTTGCACACAAACTGATAAACAACCTGTCAGAAGACATCTGTACTCACGTATATGCCTCAAAGTCTCCATTGTTGATGGCTTCTATCAGCTGCTCCGTTATCTTAATGATCTCTTGCTTACGCACTGCGAACAAGAAGAAAGAGCAATTTAGCTGCGCGTGAGACCTCAGTGGGAATACGGGGCTAGTGGGTGCTTCCTACAAGCAATTTGCAGAGCACCATTAGTCTAGATCTCATAGGATGCTGCTCCTCGCATTCTGGAGATAGGCAGTAATGACGGACAGCCATCCACATGAGACTGGGGGGGCAGTGGTATGGAAAGGGAATGATGATCCCATAATGCAGGGACAAAGGAAATGAAGATGCCATATTCATTTTTTTTCTTCTAGAAAGGTCTGAGGCACCGGAGGTGCTTCTGGGGGGTCTGACCAATGAATGTCAGTGAACCTGCCAATGTGAAGCACTTGTCTGGCAGCTTAAGATGTGGAAAGCCTTCACCACAGTAGTCAGATAGAAATGGCCACCACACAAATCAAGCCAATTGCACAGTCTCCCAGCAACTTGCCTATCACCATCACCAACACCTCAGCTATTACGAATGCTGCGAAGAAGCAACTGGGACATGTAGGGATGACTTCCGCAAGCCAGAAAGACAACCGCAGCAGGATGGATGGGTTGGATGAAGAGGTCCTAGGCTACACCCTCGGGCAGTTAGCTTCTGCCAATCCCTGTGGCACAATTCTTTTCAGCACCCTGACTGCACGGCTGTTAACCCAACCCAGCACACTGGGCTTCAAGAAGAAGACGGGGGCTAGCTGTCTTACTGTTATTTGGCCCCTCTCTCGCCAGCACTGCTGCACTCTCTCCCCTTGGTTTCCCGCAGCCGATTGCCCAGGCCCCATCCCCTCTGAGGTGTTCCATCACCCGTGCTGATCTCAAGAGTTTTTAACACTCACCAAGTTTTGGTAGGCTCTGTTAAATAACACAGTTCTAGTTGTAGGACTATATACACCATATGTATGCCTGAGCCTATATGCACACTCACACCTCTCCAGCCTTCCCCTCACTCTCCCTGTAGGCAGAATATGCTGCACATCATACAAGCATTTAGGAGGCGCTGTAGCATTATCGTCAATGTTACCAAATAATTTACAACTCCTACCACCACAAGTGGAATTTACCTGCCCTTAGGCATCTAAAATCTGAGGTGTCTGAAATGGCACCAGTCACTGGATTGTTCCTCCTTTAGGGCCTGAAAGAAATAAGCACTCCTGGAAGTCTCACCTGAGGCATCTCAGATGCCTGTCATTAGGAGGATGGTGTTTAAATCCAGCCTATGGATTCTTGGGCTGTCTATTGTGAAAAATGTCCTTACAAGACACCTGGAATTGCTTCTGCATGAAGCAGGGCTGCTTGCTGGAATGCCACTCCCACGCAGACAACACACCAACGTGTGCCGTGCCCGGAAGATGGGGTGCACGGGAAAGGCTCCGTTTGGGCTGAGTGAGGAAATCTGCAGATTGCAGCCATCACGTGCTGATTCTTACTGATCTCCAGGAGACTGGCACCCCCCTTCCCAAGTGTCCCTGTGCAGCAGCATCGACCCTGTCCTCCAACACAAGTCCATTCCATCAGACTGTGCTCGTCTTCTTGCTTTTACTACATGTCCCGGGCTACAACCAGCACACAGGAGGTGATCCATTTTTTCCAAAGCACAGCCAGCCTTTTTTTCCGCCCCCGCCACTCCTGATGAATCCACGGGGCTTTCTCCTTTGCGCAGCAGAGGCAGGGAAGGGAGGCAAGCATGCACCAGCAGGGATCGAGAAGCGCGGCTCACGGCTCTTCAGCCGTTTTCCGGGCAGC